CATTAGGGGTTCGATTACCATGGTGATGACAGGTGGGACGTAAGTGTAAGCAGAGTCTGAATGCGCTCTCCCCTCACATCTAGTGGTGAGCTGTGGAAAAAGGGTTCAGAAGCTGATCTCGTTTGCATGCACACACTCACCCAGCCTAGGTGCTCAGCATGATGGGATTGCTTGCCTAATGATCACTTGTGGCTAGTGTTGGATCCCCAGCCTCCTTGTTGCTGGGGCAGGAGTAATAAAGGGTTGTGATCCTAGTTGTGTGAACCAAGGGCTGCAGAACTGTACCTGGCATACCCCAATGGAGGGACTCACCCTCAGCTGAACGGCACTTGCTAGCAGGGGACATGGGTTCCAAAGCCCAATGAGGAGAGAGAGAGAGTTGTAGTTGGTGGTGTGGGTCTTGCTGAAGGGGACTAGACACTCTTTCATCCTTCCTCTCTTCATGGTATAATTCAAAGAGCTAATTTAGCTTCAGTTGAGAGTCTTGTTACTGCTGCAGAGCTGAGATCACTGATACCCGGGGCGAGGTAATTGACCTCCTTTGGGACCTGTCTCCATTGCAAAAGACGCATTAGCAGTGAGGCTCCCCCCTCTAACAGCTGAAATCGCTGAGAGCGGTGCTAAGTGTGTGTGTGGGGGTCTGAATACATCTTGTCTCTCTGCCAGCTGGCCACTCGCCAGGGCCAGCTGGGCAGTGGAGAGAAGTGGCCAGCAGGGTGGCTGGTGGAGAGGGCCAGAGCAGAGCCTTGCAGAGGTGTGGCAATCAGCCATTGGGGCGACAAGCGAGTGCCTGAGCAGTGCAGCGCGTAAGGTGCCTCCTTTCCGCCGCCATCATAGACTATCAGGGTCGGAAGGGACCTCAGGAGGTCATCTAGTGCAACCCCCTGCTCAAAGCAGGACCCATCCCCAATTTTTGCCCCAGATCCCTAAATGGCCCCCTCAAGGATTGAACTCAGAACCCTGGGTTTAGCCAGCCAATGCTCAAACCACTGAGCTTTCCCTCCCCCCAGGGTGGGAGGCGAACTCTGTGGATGAACCTCTGAACTCTGGGGCTCCACTGGCGCAGGCCAGCAACTGTGAGAGAAGGGGCGGGCATGTGAAAGGGACTTTTGGGTTGCTGGACTTAAGACCCTGAGGGGAAAAGGACATTGCCCAACTTACCTGGGGATGGCTCTTTTGCTCATGGTTTGTGTTTAGGAGCCCTAGTTGCAGTGTTTTCCCAAATTAATGCTGAGTTAATTCCCCCCTTTTATTAAAAGTTTTTGCTACATTCAGACTCTGTGCTTGCAAGAGGGGAAGTATGGCCTCTTAGAGGTGCCCAGGGGGTGGTGTGTAATTGTCCCAGGTCACCGGGTGGGGGCTCGAGCCAGTTTTCTGTTGTATTGTTGAAAAGGAACCTCTAGATACTGAACCTGGCCCTTGTTGCTGCTGGCTCTACCTGGAAGAAGGGTTACATAAGGACACAAGTAGAACTAATCTGCACATCTCCGTAGCTTGCATCACCTCCAGGCCAGACTCAGCCGGACTGAACCCGCTGGCTTCCTGGCCTTCAGCAGTTCCCACCGAAAGTGAAACCCAGCAGCTGCACCCATGGAAGCTGAGACAGCAGCGCACCTCCCCTCTGTGACATTCCGCCCGGGCCCAAGGGTTACTAAACCGGGGGATTTAATGCATGAACCTTTGGCATCTAGAGGCTGGGGTCGTGAAGGAGCTGGGCCACCTCGCCACTGGGATGAGCTTCTGCAGGCCAGGGTTGGGGCACATCAGCTGAGCTATGTGTGGGGAGTCCAGGATGGGAATAGCATGGGGGTGCAGGTGAGGCTTGGGGTGCAGCTGAGCTGTGTGTAGGGAGTCCAGGATTGGACTATGTCGAAGGCTGTTGCAGGCCAGGCTTGGTGCATTGGCAGCATTATCTTCAGGAAGCCAGCATGGCTCCTGCCCGCACTGTGCCTGGTTCCAGCTAGTTCTTTCAGACCCTCACTTTCAGAGCCGGCCGCATTCTATCTCTGCCTCAAGGACGGAGTTTATTCTAAGGTCAAGTTCCCTCTCACTGCAGTTAATTCTATTACGACAAAATCTGATTCAGACAAGCTGTGCCCTGGCGTTACACATGCACTCCCCTGAACCTTGAAACCCAAGACTGGCACTGCAAGCCGCCAGGTAGGGGGATGGTGGCAAAGTGGCTGCAGCAGGCAGGCGGGCAAGCTGGGGTCAAGATGAATCCCTGCCTTGAAACCACAGCTTTCTGGCTCCTTTGCGGGGGGGTTCTGTTCTTGGATCGAGCAGCCCCCCATTCCGTACCCCTCAGGGGAGCCATAGGCAATGTGTTACTAGGGAGGGAGCCAGTGGGGATGCAGGCGTGACTTTAACACGCTCTAATAACAACACCTAACTCTCATATAGTGCTTTTCCTCCATAGATCTCTAAGCCCTTGATCAAGGTGGTCAATATCATTATCCCCATTTTACAGATGTGGAAACTGAGGCACAGGGGGGCGTGACTTGCCCAAGGTCACCCAACAGACTGGTGGCAGAGGTGGGACTGAAACCCAGGGCTCCTGAGTCCCAACATCTTAGGTCGTAGTTTCAACACATTAGCTGGTTGAGGAAAACCCTAAGCTACCCCTAAACTATAACATGACCACGATAAAGCCTTGTCTACACTGGACTGTTCTAGCATGTTGGTTAACACCTGCTTCCATCACACCTTTTATCCCTGGACACAGGCTAAGAGGCTGGGAGCAAATGGAGACCAGTGTTATCCACACCACTCCTGTTCACAGCTGCCTTGGTGATGGCCTGCTGCTTAGCAGGGGGCATGGATTAACAGTCCGTAAGGGTGGTCTAGTGAAAGATGCTGAAGGCACATGTAAGGGAGGAAGTTACCTGATGATACCTGAGCCTACGGGACACTAGGAGCCAGATTTTCAAAGGTTCTTGGCACCCAATGTACTGAGTGCTCTTGAAAATCTGCCCCCTCACGTGGAGCCTCAGTAGGATCTGAGCTGGTCTGAAAATCAGTCCATGTAATTTACAGTGAGCCGCTGGAAGACGTTTAGACGCATGAGCCCTACCTTCCACACCGCCTCTGAACTGAGCAGCCGCGCTCAGCTCACACCCCTCAGCCTGACAAGAGCTATCATTGCTACTCGCTCTAACTGTGAGTGGTGTCTCGTTAAGGGCCGTCGCTTTGTCACTCACATGCCCTAACATCTCTTCTGGGCCAGCTGGCCTGTTTGCCTGTTTCATCTGGGGGTCTCAGAGTGTTTCACCAAGGTGAGTAAATAAATACGATATTCCTGTTTCACAAAGGGGGGGGGGGAACTGAGCCACAGAGCAAGGAAGTGCCCAACGTCACGCAGAGGCATAGAACCTAGGCATCTGGACTTCCAGTCCCCTGCTCTAGCAACTAAACCTGGCTGCGTCCCCACTTGGGGACTGGACTAGCCCCATCTTTGCAGGGGCCCTATCCAAGTGGGGACACTTGTTGGTACATATTGGAGACTGGGATGTAGATGGACAGATGGAGGCTGCTCCCTCTGTTGATTGACGCCCCACGCAGTCTGGACATGAATTACCACTTCACCCCTCGTGGGCCTGCTCACATACACTGGTGTAAATGAGAAATAACCTCACTAGAGTCAATGGATTTACACTGGTAGAAGGAGGGTCTTGCTCCTTCTCACAAGGGGCTTCCTTCTTAACCAGGCCCTGGTCTACACTTTACAATCTTGATCGACCTATCTGCATCGCTCGGGGTATAAAAAATGCAAACCCCTCGTGTGGATATTTGGCTCATGAGGGGTGTGGATTATTTACATTGACTGAAAAAACCCCTTCCATCAACATAGGAAATATCTACACTCCGGGTGCTACAGCAATATATCTGCAGCTGTTCCCTGGAGTGAAGACGTGCCCCGGGACCGCTGCTGTAGAGTATCCTTAGGCTTGGCGGGATTCGATTTTTCTTGGTAAATGTCGATAAAAATCGATTTCGCCGCACACCCCCAAACTGACACATAATATCAAAATCTACAGACAGGCACAGGAAGAGAAACACTGTTTGAGAATTTAGAGTCCAAATCCCGCCATGTCTGCCCTAGGCTTGTTACAAAAGGACTGGCCAGGGTCCTGAACAGTAAAGCCAGGGCGGATTTGTCACTTTAGGGGTAGTTGCTGGGTGTGTTTTGAGGTGTGATGCTGACCGTCTGTGTTTGAGCAGTTTCCAAAGCTGTCACGTTTGGAGCCGTTCACTAATTGTCCGAGCCCCTCCGTAATTTCCCACGACTAGGAAAATTTAAATCAATAAAAATAGAAAAAAATGCTTGAAAATAAACACCTAGATTAGCCATCGAAATTCTGCCCACCTTGCATATTTTCTAGGAATAGGGTGACCAGAGGTCCCGATTTTATAGGGACAGTCCCAATTTTCGCGGCTTAGTCTTATACAGGCTCCTATTACCCCCCAGCCCCGTCCCGATTCTTCACACTTGCCCTCTGGTCACCGTATCTAGGAAAAAGCTGCAGCACGGCTACACCCCGGGGCGTTATTTTGGGCGCAAGGCTATTGTGATGTGGTAGGGCAGTGTAGCTTTCGGGGCCTGTGCCTGGTTTGGAGGGGGTATGCTGTAGGGGGTTGATTCTCATGCAGGCAGGTTTCTTGCGCCCTCGTCTGCAACCGCTGGTGCTGGGCTAGGTGGAGCCTGGTTCTGATCCAGTCTGGTGATTGCTCTGTACCTGTGCTGGCGAGGGTTACTTGGGGTGCGAAGAGGGGAAGAAAGAGTGCTGGGACTGGGAGATAAATCTCCGTGCCCAGCTACCGTCCCCTAAGCCAAGGCGAATGGCCAATGAGCTCCCCAAAACCCCATCCCTTGTCTGGGAATGTGGAGCCCTGCTCTGGGCTGCACATGTGAACGCGGCAGCCTTTCCCCCTGGAGCCAGGGAAGGCTGGCTGACAGCGATGAGTGGAGGTGGGAAGGCGTGTGCTACATAAGGAGTGCCCGGGCCCCTTTGCACCAGTGTGTGAGAGACAGCCAGGCCCAGAGGAGTGGCTCAGCCGCTCTGCCTGTGTTAGGAGTTTCTGTCCTGCAGGGGGACGACAGGGCTTTTGCTGGCGAGCCCAGACTGCTGCTGTGCGGGGACAGGCAAGTTGCAGGTAAAATCCTCTTCTTTCCTGGCAGGGAGCTGGGCTCTAGTGGGCTTTGCCTCCTCCCTGTGGGTTTTGCTGGAGCTGTGGGCAGCTGATTTCTGCATGGAGCAGCCGGGAGGTTGAGGGGAGGGAAGGAATCAGCTTCATGGATTTCTCACTGCTTTAGGGGAACAGGATGAGAGACGATTTTGTTTCTTGAAGACCTGGATTCAGCTTTTGATTTAGGTTCAGAGCTGGTTGCAGTCCAGGAGGATCAGCTGCCAGCCGGTCCCAGCCCAGAGGGGCTGGCTCAGCTGGGGTGAACTTTGGAAGGCTTTGCAAATATTTCATACATTCCTGGGTAGATGCATTATTGATGGGGGCTGTGTGTCGTGGGAAGATTGCGGGGGGGCTTTTACTGGGAGGGACTGGGGCAGCTCCTAGATTCCTTATCCCTAGTAAAAAGAAAAGGAGGACTTGTGGCACCTTAGAGACTAACAAATTTATTTGAGCATAAGCTTTCATGAGCTACAGCTCACTTCATCGGATGCATAAAGTGGAAAATACAGTGAGGAGATTTATATACACATAGACCATGAAAAAATGGGTGTTTATCTAACACAGCTGCTACTCTGAAACTTATCCCTAGTGTGTTTAATAGAGGTGTAGCTGGGAGGAAAGAACACAGCCCCGAACAGCCCGCTGCTAAGCTCCGAAGGCAGGGTATGTTTGGGCTGGGGCTGGAAAGCAGAATTCCACTAGCCTTTCCTTGCTGCGCTGCTGGGGGAAGCTGATTTCCCCCTTTTGTAGACTTCCTTCCCCACCAGGGGATACGCACCACACTTTACAGACCGGGGGCAAGGTCTGCCCTCATGTTACACCCCCTACTTGACTTCAGCAGGGTTGCAAGAATGGGAATGGGATCCGGATTTGGCCCCGCATTTGCAGGGATGACTTCACCCAACACTGAAATGCAGCTTCCTCTGGGGTGGGACATAACTGCTGTTTTACAGTCACACAGCAATGTTGCCCAGGGAAGGCTTGCCCAGCAGTGAAATGCAGCCACCGCTGGTGTTTTACGGTTGCCCAGCAATTCTACTGTATGCTGGAGTTTAATTGCCACCGGCCACCAGATTCCAAGCACTTTCCTGAGCCTGCTTTAGCTTTGCTGCGCCAGGATTTACGCTCCATGCTGCTTGTTTCTGTGATGTCCTAGATCTAGGTCAGAGGGTTAAGCTAACGAAATGAAGGCAGCTTGCTTACCTTGCAGTAAGCAAAGGCACTGGCAAAGATAGACTGAAATTCCTTCCCTGCCTTTTGACCTCCATTCCCCTCCCCTTCCCTGCCTAATTTAGCTGTTGAGCCCTGAAAACTCATCACATTGTCTAAGTCCTAGATCACAGCACTGCATACATTCAGATGCACATTCAACCCCCCTATCAGGACGACTGGCCAGGGAGTTACAGGCAAGGCTGCTATAACCCAAGTGAATATGAAAGAGAGGGAAGGATTGAACGCAGGCTGGAGCCAGGAGCAGCGTGAGCAGGTACTGGACTAATTTCTCCTCCATAGCTCTGCTGCTGTCCCCTCAATCCTGCCCTGAAATCCTCTGCTAGTCCCACAGCCCCCTGCTGCCCCAGCTCAGGCCTCCCCACCCACAGCTCAGCCAGTTCCCCCCCAGTCCTGCCCTGCAGTCTGGGATACTACACTGGCCCTTGCAGATCAAAGAGACAGAGAGAGGGAAGCTAAGTTCTGACATGTCCCCGAACAATGCTGAGAGGAAGGCGAATAAAACCTCTGAGCAGGGATTGGTGTGAGGGGAAGAGCTGCAGGGAACATCCCTGGGATGGTGCATTGCGGGGCAAAAAGCCACACACACATCCAATTATTTGCACTCTGGGTGGGTGGGTGAATCCCGCTCTCGGGGCTGATCCACCCTCAAGTTGCCACCAAAAGAACAAAATCGGTTTAATCCCCCGCTTTGGCGAAACTGGTGCAAACGGGGGCTGGGTGCTCTGGTTTTGGATTAAAAGCATCATATTTTGAGTGAGTTGAAGGATAAAATTTTCAAAAGTGCCCAAGTGACTTCGGAGCCTAAATCCGGTTGATCCTGCGTCATTTAGTTTTTAATGGTTTAAGCTTTAAGAAACAAAACAAAAAAGGCCTCAAGCTACAGCAAAACGGGACACTCTGAATCCGAAACCAGCATGTTCCAGGCACAGCCTCCCACAGAAATAACGGACTCTGTTTTTGGTGTAGCCTAGCCCGCGATTGCAGAGATGTCAGTAGGCTACGGGCTTGTCTCCAGGGGTTGCTGCACTGGTATAACAAAAGGGGCAATTTAAAACTGGTTTAACTGACCTGGTGCATGAGTGTGTGGACAATGATTTTGGTTACAACCAGGCTTTTTGAGCTTGCGTTGATTAGACACAGGGTTAAGAAGTAGGAATGTCCAGCGGTTAGGGCAAGAGGCTGCGATGTAAGAGACCTGGGTTCGAGTCCCTGCTCTGCCACAGACCCCCTAGGTGTCCCTAGGAATATCACTTAGTCGCTTTGTGCCTCAGTTTCCCCATCTGGAGGATAATAGCACTGCCCTGCCTCACAGGGAGTTGGGATAAATCCATTAAAGATGGTGAGGAGTTCAGAGATGGGGGCCAGAGATGGACAGGAATAAGCTGCTCTTACACCAGATTCAGAGCATCCCCACAGGGGTTTGCACCCATTTAACTAAATCAGGGGCCAATTCTTGTGTTGACACCTGGGTCTGTGCAGTTATACCTGGGTCACTGCGGGCAGGGGCTGCAATGGTGCAGTGACGCCCATGCAAAGCCCTAGTGTAGATGGGGTGCTGCTGCGTGGAAAGAGGCTTGGGCTGGCCACGTTGCAGCCTTTACCCCAGCGCAGTGGCTGGAGGCCTGAGTCTCTGTCGCTCAGCCCCTTGTGCTGTCACTTACAGCAGGGCGGAGTGAGTGTGACATGATGCCCCTCACGGCGGTGTCGATTCCCACCCACTCTGCACTGGTGGACGTGCCTCCGCTGGGCACCCTGAGTTGGAGGATCGGGCCCCGGGGTTATATTGGTGCAAAACGCCCCAGTGCCGGCAGGCCACCAGAACAGAATGGGGGTCAATATGTGCAGTTCTGTCATGGCAGGGATCTGGCCCGCAGCCCCTTGCTGGATGGAGCGCTGGATGATTCCAGTGTGGGGGATTCCTGATGCAGGATTGGGCCCCTCCAGTCCCAGCCCCACACAAATGCCACACCGAGGGCCAGACTCCCCCCTGGCTTGCAGCCCTGGAGTCCGTGCAGTGGTGCAGGGCAAGCCGTTGGCATGTCGGGCCTGATTCTGCTCTGAGTCTGTGTCGCTGCCGAGGAGCATGCGAGAAAGCCTTGGTCAGTGGACCGCAGGCCACAAGGGCAGCTGGCTGCACCGCCGTGTTCTTGCTGCCCCTCTCCAGTCTGAGGGGATTAAACGGGAACACGCTGCAGCACATTCCTGGCTGCTTCTTGCTGCCCGGGCTAGGCTGGGAGCGGCATTGCACTGCTGCTGACCTGAGTGGGCTGTGCCTGACCCTGCAGGCAAAACTGGTATCACCTCCTCGTAAGCCAGGCCCTGCGCAATCCTGGGATTTAACAAAGAATAAAGAGCAGCTGCTTCTCCTGGTGGGGGAGCACTTAGGGGTCCCGTTTTCCAGTTTCTCTCTGCAACCAGCAGGGCTAGAAACTTATATTGTTTTCTAAACAGAAGTTGAGCATCTCAGGGAATCACCTGACTCCGGGAGCTGGGAAAGGAAAATAGCAAAGACCCCAGCAACAGAACCATGACAGATGGCAACAGTAGCAGCCAAAGCCTGGTCTTATATTAAGTGTGCACAGAGCTTGCAGCTGGCTTCCGCTGCCTGAGCTGCTGGGAGCATGGGTCCCAGTTTTATCAAGCTCCCTGCTAGCCTGGGCTTTGATCCTGCCTAACCTGCAGCCTGCTGCAGCCTTGATCCTACCTAACCCACTGGGAGCCCTCACCTTGGTTATCTGACATGCAGGGAACCAAGGAAGTTTGTACCTTTAGCCTGGTAAAGATTTGGGAAGCAACAAACCTTTCTCCCCCCACCTTGCAAACAACAGGCACCCCAGCTCCCCCCTTGTCCCAGCCAGGTGTGATGCTAGGTGACTGACAGCTGTCAATCTGCATGGGAAGGGAACACCCCCACTTGCATCTCCTTCTGGTTTCTTCGGTGCAGACGCTGAAAGGTATTTGGGCACTTAACTCCCAAATGGTGCCTAAATACCTTTGAGGCTCTGGGTGATAGCTCCCAAGCTCTGCATCAGTAGCTCTGATGAATCAGCCACCTTCCGTGGTGGCTTCCCTGGCAAGAAACTCAAAAGGGAAGAGAATCTGTCCTCACAGCACTTAGGACAGAGCCATTCGTTAAATCTCCCCGGCTTCTTCTGGGCGATACCCTTGCTCGTGAGTTTCCAGAGCAGAGTCTCTTTTGCTAGCTGGTCAGTGTTTCACGCTCTCCTGCACAGGGGTGCAGAGGATGCATGGTGTCTCCTGCAGAGCCGTGCATGCAAGTCTGGCGAGGTGATTATGGGGGCTCGTTCCTGGAGAGCTGAACAAGCTGGCGGCTTCCCCTGAAGGGTGGTTCGCTGCCTTAGCTCCCTTGTCCCGGTCCCCCCCACTGCCCCGGCTCTTGTGTCCGGTGGGGCTTGCCTGGAGAGCCTCTGCTGGCCACCTGAGTGGCTGCCTGAAAGGAGAACGGCTCACAGAGCCGCATGGCCGTGCTGTGGCCCATACCATGCTGAAGACCTGAAGCAAGCACCGGCGCGGATGGCAGGCGGTGGTGCGGCCTGGCTGTCCTCCTAGCAGGGGGCGATGCAGGCAGAGCGAGGACTCAGGGCTGGGATCTTAGAGGCCAGTCGGTGGGCAAGGGGAACGTTTTGTGATGGGTGGGTTGGTCATGGGGGGCAGGTGGTGGATTATTTCTCCCCTGGAGGAGAACAAGGCGTAGATCCCGGTTGCATCTTGTCCTCGGGCTGGGCAAAGCTGGGAAAGCTCCGTTTCAGGGTCTCCTGGCAGCCACCAATTCACTAGCCCCCCACAGCAAGTCCCACTTGCCTGTGTTCAGAAGCCCTGGTGTCAAGCACCTGCCACTGGCCTGGGGCCCAAGGTGAGATCATGGTGATGCTTGTGTCCCTCTGGATTCGTGTCCCCCTCTGAGCTCTGAGCCCAGCCCTAGGAACGAGGATGTGGGCCAGGAGCTGCCCATGTCCACTCCGGACACTGCGTTCCTCATGTCCCGTCCTTCTCTCTCTCTGGCCCCTGCAGATTCCGGGGACGTCGGCCCACAGATGAGGCTGCTGTGGACTCTCCTGACCCTCTGGCTGTTGGCAGCAGAGGATCTCTCTGCCCACAGAGCACGGACCCGCAGAGAGCTGGCACCAGGCTTGCACGAGCGGGGGATCCGGGACGCCGGCGGCTCGTACTGTGAGAGGAATGATGCCTGCTGCGTGGGCAGGGACGACGCCTGCACTGTGCCCTACCTGGATACCATCTGCTACTGCGACCTCTTCTGCAACCGCACCGTCTCCGACTGCTGCCCTGACTTCTGGGAGTACTGCCTGGGCATCCCGCCCCCCTTGGCCGTGCACAAAGGTAGATGGGGCAGACCCCCTCCAGCAGCTCGCTCTGGCCTGGGGACCCAGGGCCTCGGGTATCCACAGGGGGTCAGCAGCAATGCAAGCTCCATCCCTCGCATCCACACAGCTCCCGCCCATCCTCCTACCCCAGAGCGACCCCCAAAGCTCAGTCCCCAGGGCCTGTTCAGTGCTTGGCTTCTCTGCCGAGGCTGCCAATGACAGATCAGTCCTTCTGGTGGAGTCTGTGTAGGTCAAATCTGTCCCCTAGGAACTAGGCTGGGACCCGCCCTCGCCACCCAGACATCTATCGAACGGGGATAATGTGTGGTCCCATCTGCTGCAGGATTTGAACCTGCAACCTCTGTGTTTCCCGGCCCTCAGTGATCCCCTCTCCTCTCCTTTGGAGTCAATAGCAAGCTGCTCAACAGGGCCTCTGTCCAGCAGCCATCCCCCTGTCCCCATCCATAAGGGGACCACCCCAGGGTCAAACCCCCGGACATGGGAAGGCATCTCCCTGCACCCCCTGGTGGTCTGCTCGGCATCAGGCTGCCTTTCGGACGTTGCCAGTCCCCGGTCTCTCCCGCCAGCACCCTTATCACAGATCCCACTTAAGATGTGATAATTTCCTTGGCAGCTGCGAGACCTCAGCTCGACAGCGGCTGGGAATGTGTGCGCTTCACAGCTGCCTTTCTCCAGCCCCGGGCTGCGGTGGGAGCTGCCAGCAGCTTTTCCTAGAGCTCTGCCCGCCTCTTGAGCGAAGAGTCGTAACCCCAGAGCTGCCAGGAGCTGGAAAACTCATGGGCCGGGAAGGGAGACCTCGGATCCTGCTCCTGGGCAAACCCAGTCCTGGCGTAAGAGGTGTAAATGCCACTGGAGACAAAGGAGGTTTGGCTTCCTAATGCCCAGTCTGACTTTGCCCCGGGGGTAACTGGGAGCAGAATTTGGCCCAGTACATTCCAGTTCCATTTCTAGGAACGTAGGGTCAGAGCCTCAGTTGGTGTAAATCGGTGTAAATGCATTGGCGCCCTGGTGACTTCCACCAATGGAGAATCTGGCCACATTAGTTATTGACCGTTCCCTAGCACCCTTTGTCTGAAGGCCTCACAGCACCATACAGCCTATGGGTTGTATTCTGCGCTCTGTTACGCCACAGTAAATCCAGATAACGCCTTTGCCTTCAGTGGACTCACTCCAGAATGTCACCTGGTACACCTGGACACAGACTTTGACCCTACAGAGATAAATGGGTCCTTTAGCCCGGGCTGAAATGTGGCAGCTATCACCTAGCAATGCTGCCCGGCCAGCTGGGACGGGGGAAGGAAGTGGACTATCTTGTCTGCTTTGACCATGCCAGGGGAATTCCAGGATAATGAGCCGGGCTGGAATCTGGCCAGTTCTGTGAGTTACATCCCTACGCTTGAAAACGGGACCTTTCTTTGTCTGTGGCTCAGGGCCTTGGGTTGATGCTGCTCTCACTGAGATCAGAACCTGATCAGTCGAGATCGTGGTGCTCGGAGCCGTGTATGTTTCACTGTAATGTTAACCCTGCCGTACCTTGCTGGGGAGGCAGGGCATCCGCTGAGCTGCGTGTCCCTCCCTCTAATGCATGTCATAAACTCTTTCTAAGAAGCCATTGAGGAACCAGCTGGCGTATAAAGATGAATAAGGCGTTTGTAACTGGCGCCTTATCAGAAATGTTTCCAATCCACATGGGCGTGGGTGGCGAGTCTCTCGCATGATCTCACCCTGTGAACGCTGCTCTCTGGGAATGACGCCTGCCCTCCCCGCTGCAGGGTCCCACAGTTGTGGCCCAAACCACCCTGCGCTCTTTACTATGCCCCAATCGGGGCGGTGTGCACCCTTTTCGGAGCCGCGGAGGGGTTGGCCCGAGAGGGGGCTCTGCGGCGGCCATGCTGGGATATGAGGGACCCCGGGTGACTGAGCTGTGGGGAGCCATGAGAAAAGCCTGGAGCATGTTTACATCAGAGGTTGCAGGGCATGCGTCACACTGTGGACACGCTTAGCTTGTCCGGCACCAAACCCCAAACCGCACAAAGAGCCTCCTCTGCACCACGGCACATGCCCTGAGCCGATGAGTCAGAGGGTGGTAAGTCACCCCCCCACCCCCAGCCCCGTCTCTAATTGCACTTTGTCCAGCTGCCCTGACACACCTAGCAGCTAGGAGACAGCAAGGGGAGGAGTGAGTTAAAGCCTTGCAGGGCCTGCTGGCCCCCGGGGATAATTGGAGGGACCTGGTTCCTCCTCCCGTGAGACAGAATTAAACCCTGAGATGCAAGAGCTGTGCCCCCCAGTGCCGCTCAGGTAGGCCCGGAAAACCTGTCTGAGATTGGCTGTGATGCAGAGGGGTTCAGAATATTGCCAAGGCAAACCCAAAGCCATTCTAAATGGGCGGGGGGGATTAGTTTGGAAGGGTGGTCCAGTGGTTCGGGCACTCACTTGGGAAACTTAGGAGCAATTCCCTGCTCTGCCACAGACTCCCTGTGTGACCCTGGGCGACTCACTTAGTCTCTCTGTGACCATGGCTCCTTATTCTGTGTGGGCTGGTGATGTGGCTTATGGTCCTGCTCCTGCTCCTTTGAAGTCAGTGGAAAGATTCCCACTGACTGTATGGGGAGTTGGACCAGGCTTTGTGGTAGCAGTGATCTAACTAGTCTCATGTGTATCCCTGCACAACTGTTCCTCACCGTCGTCTGTTCTTTGCCTCTCTCCTGTCCAGGTTGTGATCGTGGTGAACACAAGTACCCAACCGGAGCCACCTACAGAGAAAACTGCAACCTCTGGTGCGTGCTTTGGCTTCTGATCAGGGTTCTTGCTGCCACCAGGCTTTGCTAATTATTTCCTGAGCTGCTAATAAGCTGTTTGCCATCAGCTAAGTCAGATGACTCAGGTTTCTCTTTAAACTATTCAAAATGTATTTTTCCTTAGGGGAACCCCTTGCCCAACATTTCCTCCTCATCCCCTGACAGAGAGATCTCCCAAGGCTGTGCTCAGCGGGAGGCCCATCTCTTGCAAAATTAGACTGCACACAGCATCAAAGAATGTGTTGTAGGAGTCAGCTGCACTGGCAGGAGAGTGGGACCAGAGGCATGATCCGTCACAGATTCCAGCCAATCTCTGATGCCAATCCAATGGCTGGCTTTGAGATTTGGGTGCCAGTCTCTTTGGGAACGGCCAGCTTTTCCCTGGGCCTGCAATGGAATTGCACAGGCCACCCAGAATTTCCACAGCAGAGCCATAACGCAGCCGTGGGGTTTCTGGAAGCTGGGCCGGAATGCTTAATGACCCACAGCGAATCCTTTGACTTGCCCAGTGTTAAATTGGTGATGCAATCCCAGATTGGGTCAGTTTTGGGTTCATCGCTATTTCCTGCAGAGGTGTCACCAAGACCAAATTCTGCCCTGATAACCCCACGGTGGCTTGGAAATGTACGTCTGGAAGGGACCCCTAGAGGTCATCTAGTCAAACCCCCCAGGCTGCAGCCCCAGCACAGACACTGGTTTGCCTCCCTTTACGAAAGCTGGCTACGGTTGCAGCGTGAACGAACCTCCTTTCTCAGCAGCGTGCTGAGAGCTGCTTCCAGCAGCCCAGCATTGAGTTGGGAGGATACCCAGTGTATGGCAATCACAGCAGAGCAGCTCTGGAAATGCCCTCCCCCGCCCCCATCCCTAATCTTTGGAACTCCCCTCCCACTAGTTGCAATTGTCTGTCTCAGGAGCCAACTCTCGCTGGTGTTTTATCGGCAGGAATGCGGGGGTGGGATGCACTCAGTGTTGAAGCAAACTCTTCCCTGACCAGTTCCCAAGCTCCTGGGGCCGCAGGGGTCAGACCCTGCCCCGGGTGGGGGCTTTAATAAGGGCTGAAGTTTCCCAAAATTAACCGGCTGCCTTTCCTGCAGAAGGGGAAGTGTCTTCCAGCAGGGCTGGGCCTTTGGGGGCTGAACGCTCCTCCTGCCAAAATATTCCCAGTCCTGACCCCACGTAGGACTTAATAAGCAATTCCCCTTTCAGCTCTTACTCCAGATGCGTCTGCATCTTGTGTGACCCCAGCTACTCCCACTCAGTTCTCTCTCCCCATGTCCTACTAGACCCCACAGGCAGATCCAGCCCTGCATTGGCCCAGAGTTAGAGGCCATTAGGTCTCTCTCCACCCATAAGGAGCCCCCTGCTGCTCCCCCTCCCGGCCCCCAACACGGCAGCATGCTAGGGCAGGTAGGAAGGGCCACTGGCGACCTGGTTTGTTTTATCAGCAGGGGCTGCTCTAACTTACACCAGGGGCTGCTCCAGCCCCCACAGCGGCCTAGAGTCTAGGAGGCAGAGGTGGTGTGAACGTCTGTGAAACCACTGTTTACTTCCAGCCACGGGATTGCTGGGCCCCCTGTGTGGGGCAGCCCGGGGTCTGGCCGATGGGCTGTCGATCCAGCACCTTTCGTCAGCCCTTACACACCACCCCCCTGCCCGCCATGTATAACAGGGCCTGCTCTGCTCCTTGATTTAGTTCCTGAGAGAGATGCCGTGTCTACATCAGGGGCAGTTCCCCGGGCTGGGATCGACCTTGTGGATTGCAGCGGGGAGAGATCCGGGGTTAATAACAAGATGCTCCAGCAGCCAGGGCACCACCGTGTGTGCGGAGACCAAACAGCAAGGAGGGGGGGAGCGAAGGGCTTGGAAAGCATCTGGGAGGCCGTGGAATTTGAACTCTGGCTTTTTCCATTGCCTCACTGGCGCAAGGCAGCGGCGCGATCGCCAGGCAGAGGGGAGGGAAGAGCCCCCTGGGTTATAACACACAGAAGGAGGTGGTGGAATCTCCTTCCTTAGAAGTTTTTAAGGCCTGGCTTGACCAAGCCCTGGCTGGGATGATTTAGTTGGGGCTTGGTCCTGCTTTGAGCTGGGGGTTGGTCTAGATACCTCCTGAGGTCCCTTCCAACCCTGATCTTCTATGATTCTCTGATTCTAAGGAACATTGGGCCTGAGAGAGGAGCCTGGCCCCAGGGGAGGCTATCACGGTTGTCCCTGTTTCGGGTGAGCCTTTTCCCCACTGAACAGTGATGTGCTTCCTTCCCGGTTGGACTGTGGGCTCACCTAGACCCACGTGGACTGTCGGGATGTGGCTGGGGCGTTCGGCAGGACTGGGGGGTGGGGTGGGAAGGGTTAATTGGATGTGACTGCCCTGCTTTTCTATAGCCCCATCTGTGCAAGGATGTGAAATCACTTAATAAAAGGGTCACCAGTGAACCCCAGCAGCTACCTCCATTTTAGATGGGAAACTGAGGCTCAGGGAGGGCAGGTTGCACAGCAAGTCAGTGTAAGAGCCAGGAAGGGAACCCAGGAGTCCTGAGGCCCTGTCTGCTTCTTTCAGTGCTAGAGAGTGTGGGGGAGCAGCCAGTAGTGGATGCGTTGGGGTGAGGCGGAATTCAGGTACCGCAGGACCAGGGGAGAGGAGTGGCCCGGGGCGTGGGCATCACATCCAGCCCTTTGCCCCTGTCGCCCTGCACAGATGCTGATACCCTTCCAGGGGCAGAGACGCTTCTCAGGCCTTACAGCTCCACTTCCTGGGGCCTCGGGGCAGGGAGGGGCGTCCCCTGTGATCCTTGGGGAGGGATGGCCGCTTACTCTTCAATCTGCTGATGGTTGCCAGCAGGTTATAAACTCTCCCCTCCCTCCGCCTGGTTGCTGAGAGCTCCATGTGAGCCAGGGGGCAGGATGCAGGGGCCCACAGCTTTCCATTGGTCCTGGGCAGCTGGCGAGGGGGCAGCAAGGAGCACTCTCCCCCCTGCCCCCCCCTCCTCCCGACCTCCCTGGGTCGGCCGAAGGCCATCAGCTGGAATACAGAGGCCTGCATGTTTAGCACCCATCTGGCCCCAGAGCCTGTCCAGGCAGCTGGCGCAGGGCGCCCGGTGTGTGACGGAGGGAGGGGATCACTGTTTGGCCAGGGGAGGGGTGGGGTGGGGTGGGAGGGAGCAGTCATCCCCTCCCCCAGCTCCTTTCTTGCCCAGGTGGTGGGGGGGGATATCTCCACTCCTCCACCCCGTCTGCGTTCCCACCCTCTCTCCTCTGTAGTGTGGCAGGGAGGGTGTCACTATCCACCCCGCAGTGGAACACCTGCTTCCATCTGCCCACCGGTGCCCGCCCAGTCTGGCCATGCAGCCTCATGCACCCAGCGGCGGGAGCCTGGCAGCGGGGGTGTAGGGGCACCGGACATCCAGTGCCCCCCCAAAGAGGCAGTTGTCCCCTGCTGGGAGGCAGGCAGGGCGAGATCTCCTGCTCAGCGTCCCGGGGAGGGAAGGGTTAAGGCTGGGCCCGGGTCTGTGATGCTCCCTGCCGGCTCAGTTCTGTCTATACTTGGAGAGCCCTGCCTGGCAGCTCCTTAGCCTTAAAAGGAAGTGCAGCCTCTCTGGGCTGGAAAAGGAGCAAAAACCAGCAGGGGTCTTGGAGAAAATACCAAGCATTGCTTGGAGCTTGGTTAATGCTGGAGACGGCTTGTGTGAGCTCCCCGTGGGTGCCAGGGAACTGGAGGTGCTGGAATGGTGTCGCGGGGGAATGGGTTTCGTTTCGTGCCTATGGGAGCGAGGCGGCTCAGGGGCCCGCTTCATGCTCTCCGCCCCCCAGCACTCCACAGCTCTGCTGCTGCCCCCGGATCCTGAGGCTGCAGCCTCCCCACACAGCCCCGCGGATCCCCTGCCGCGTGGGGCACGGGGCACTTGCTGGTCTCAACTAGGGTCAGCGGTGGCTGCTCTGTAACTTGGAGCCTTGCAGTCAAATTTGAGGATTTCAGTGACTCAGCCGGAGGCGCTAGGCCTGTTGCAGGAGCCGGTGGGCAACTCGGTTCTGCAGCCTGCGCTGGGCAGGAGCTCAGAGATGATCAGGATGGTTCCCTCTGGCCTTAAAGGCTCTGAGCAGGGCCTGCTCTTCCTTTCCTCCCCAGCTCTTCTAAGGCATCCCAGGCCCAGTCTCCGCAGAGACGTTACATCAGGGTAACTACGTCAGGGCGGGGTGTGAAACACCCGCTCCCTGGAGCTCTGTAGTTGTGCCGAGCGAAGCCCTGGGGTAGATGCAGTTGGGGCGACGGAAGAATGGTGCCTTTGACGGGGGAGGCAGGAGTTCCTGCCGCAATGGAGGAACCCCGTCTGTCGCTGCCGTCTGTGCCACGGAGATACAGCGGCATAGCTGCGGCCCCAGCGTTATTGCAGTGCCCGTAATGCGGACAAGGGCTGGCTAGGTTTCCCTGAAGGTTTAGTGCAGACTCTCTCGTGTTCCCCGGTTTTAACTCGGGCTGCTGAACTAATGGAAAGGCAGCGCTCGCTGCTCTGAACCTTCCCCCAGCCCCAGAGTATAGTGATGTTTGCAAAAGCCTGGCTAACTTTCAGCCTCGTTAGTTTTCATCCCATGCTCCTTTGCCCTTCCAAGCCCCAGCAGCGACCAGCAGGGGAACGGGTCACAGTCTCATGCCAAGGACTGATTTCCAGGGCTTTCTGGCTCACTTTCGCAGACCCACGGGGCTCCAAAGGTGCAGGGAAGCGAGTTTAGTTGCTTCTCTGAAGGCAGCGTCCAACCCTTTAAGTGCTGGCTTGCAAACAGCACGGTGCGGTGCGTAGGTAGATGGGCTGCTGCGGGTGCGGGGCCGGGGGGTCTTGGGGGGGTTGTGGGAAGGCACAGGAGCGGAGGCCGACAGCTGAATTGCGGCTCTGGAGCAGCAATGGATGCAGCTTCCCTCGAGACCCAGTATCGGCTGCCACCTGGGGTAGCTCCCCCAACTAGTGCCGTGGGCCATGCGTGGCTGAGGTGGCTTTGGGTGCAGCCGGGGAGCCAGCGAGAGGGAACGACTGGTTCTGGCCTCACACGACAGATCTCTAGCGCAGGCAGGCACGTAGGGGTCCCGTCCCGCGCCGATGACAAGGCCTTGTCCCACGTTTCCCCAGCTGGACCCGCTTCCCTGGCTGACCCGTCTCTTATCTCCTCTTCCCAGCACCTGCAGCGGGAACGGGAAGTGGGACTGTGAGCAGCACCCCTGCCTCATCGATGGGGAGATGATTGATGCCATCAACAGAGGGAATTATGGGTAAGAGCCCTTTGCCGGGAGGACGGTTTGCCATGGCCTTCGAAAGCCTGAAGGTTGGAGGTGTCGGCGTTCCACTGCAGGTCCACGGGGCAGCCCGATGCTCTGAGAGACCCGCAAAATGCTGGGCTGGGTTCGCTGCGAGTGTTTGGGTCCTGGGAGCACTGAGAGCCCCCAGCTGAGATCACGGCCCCTTTGTGCTAGGGTGCTGTACAGACACCCAGCGAGAGAGAGCCCCTGCCCCACAGAGCTTACAGGCCAGACAGGCAAGCCGGACGCAAGGCAGCGCTCAGTGCAGAGGCCGCCAACGCCGGGCAAGCGAGGGTTAAAACTCTGCCCTGTGCCTCCAAGCCTGGTTTTAGCAAATGAGAAGTCCTGACAACTGTTCTGAGGACGTTTTCGATACCAGTGGCCCCCCAAAAGGCAGCACGGGCTTGTTGTTTTCTTTGCGGGGGGGTGTGGGGAATGAAAAATTCCAACAGACGACCAATTTTGCATGAAAAATTTCAGTTTTGAAAAAAGGGCCGTTTCTGGTTAGAAAAACGTAGCCCCGCTCTAGGTTACAGCCCCTGCGCCCCGCTTCCTTGGCGCATCACGGCCGGGGCGGGGGATGGAACCTCTCCTGAGACGTGTGAGCGTCCGGTAACCACCACACTGCCGTTAAGATGCAGTTACATGCCCCGTAGCACCGAGAGAGCCCGGCTGGACTTGCGGTGAAGGCACTGGCCGGACTCCTGGGTTCCATACCGACCACTGGTGTAGACCACTAGTGTGACCTTGGGCAAGTCCCTTAGCCTCTCGGTGGCTCCATTCCCCATCTGTACGTTGGGGATAATAGCACCGCCCTCCCCTGCCTCCCCGGGGTGTTGAGAGAGTCAGTGTATTACAATGCTGATGCCACCGTAACAGGGCCCAGATAAGTGCCTAGGACGGTGTGGCTAGGATCCCTCTCTGTGCCAGGGGCCAAACCAGAGCCCTGCGCTCGAGGTGAGCGTCTCTGGAATGGGCCACGCTGACCTTGGAGGGGAGGAATCTGGCGCTGGGCCTTCTCAAGTCCTGAGGTGCCCAGACGTGAGCCCTGCAGCTCAGGGTTTTGGTCCAGGCCCATCTCTGTCTTAAACACCCTCATGCCCCCAAATAGCACGTCCAGGGGGTGGGGCTGGTCAACACTCTACAGCTTCAGACTGAGCCATGAGGTGCTTTCCGCGCCTGGGGTCATGAGCGCGTCAGGGGTTTCTTTGCCCTCTAATCGGACCTGCACCTGTCCCTCGCTAGCTGGAGAGCCGCCAACTACAGCCATTTCTGGGGGATGACGCTGGATGAAGGGGTCCGCCACCGGCTGGGGACCATCAAACCACCCCCCACGGTCATGAACATGAACGAGCTGCAGGTGAGTCTGTCTTGCCTGGCCCAGGCCTTGAATAGGGTGGGGGTTGGGTTACATTCCCCTGTGTTGTTCCTGGGCTGTTTAGTACCTGTCCACTTGAGACCAACTCTCCCGTCCCAGCCTGCAGCTGGGATCTGATCTCTGTGCGGGGCATTGCCCCCATTATACAGATGAGCACTGAGGCACGGGGCAGATTAAGTGACTTGACCAAGGTCATACTGGGTGTCTGTGTCTGAGCTGGGAATTGGCCCAGTCCAGCGCTGACCCTCCTTCCTATCCTGGCAGGGCCTTGCCCCTTGTGCTGGAAATGGCGCTATGCTTTGGCTGAAGACTGAAGTGGGCAGATACTCCCGGACCTGTAGTAGGGGCTCCGTGGGGGTCTTATTAGGCCTGTCCCTCTGGAAACCCCAGCTCAGTAGCTTCAGCCTTGCAGTCCCTGAATTCTTTTCCTTTCCTTCCCCTGTTTGTTTCCCATCGGAAAGCGAGGTCCGCGCCGGCCCCCCAGGCCCCTGCTGTACCACTGCTGAGTCTGCAAAGCCAGCCCGCTGCACGGTGCATTACCCCGCACGCATCCTGTCCCCAAAGGCTCCTGCTAGAACAAACACGCGGGCCGGGGCTGCCAGGGCACGACCCTGATGTCGCCCAGGCTCTGCTCCTGTCCAGCGCGGCCCCGTTCACCGCGGAGGGCGGCCCCTGCCGGGGCGGGTGGAAGAGCGACAGGGCATGCTCAGGCTCGTTCTTTTCCAAGCACATTCTTGGAGAGCAAGATGCTGTTTTTCCAGTGGGGGCCGGGGGGAAGTTAGCTGGCTCAGCCGGGCAGGAAACCCAGGCTGTCAGCGGATGGGACAGGCCGTTATTCCAGCTTGCGCTATTGTTCGCTTGCTGCCTTTTTTTTTTTTTTTGTCTCTTGGCGCTTCTGCTTGACCCAGGACTTGGGGATAGGCTGAGCCAGGGCAGGAAGAGGTGCGAATGGGGGGAAAGGCCATATTTCATTCCGCTTTCCCATTCTCGAGGATTCCCTGTACTCTTCTAAGCCAGGCACGGGGGCTGCGTCCACTCAGGTTGGGGGCTGCCCCTGCCCGACGCATGGCGCCCCGGTTGGGAGGGGACCTGATGTTGCCATGATGTGGGGGTGGCAAAGGTCGGGGCGGTCAGGAGGTAGCGTGCTCAGATTCCGTTAACAACCTCAGGGCAGCATCCCCAACAGCGCCTCCTGGTGGTGACGGCAGGAAGCAGTGCAGCAACCCCAAGCCAGGCCAGGCTGCGGGTAGCGCCCTGGCCAAGTGTGCTAGGTGGTTGATCCACACCCAACCCTGCTCTTGCTGACCGGAGCTAGTGCCTTAGAGGCTTTAGAGGCCTGTACTTTGGGGTCAGAGCCCTTGGGTGCGATCCTGGCTGGGTACGCTCTTGCAGGGACGGGGCGAGTCTGTACGGTCAAGGTGTTTACACCATTCTCCTTCACTCCGGCGTCTCCGCACCTTGCCGGCTGGCAGCCTCTTTCCACCAAGGAAGGAAGGAAACTCCAAGGGCAGAGCAGAGCCCTGAAATAGTCTTGTGCTGACCCCAGTCCCAGCAGACCATATTTACCCCTCCTCCTGCTGGGAACCTTGAGATCATCAAGGCGCGGGGGAGGGAAAGAAGGGTCACCGTTGTTATGGCCTGGCTTTGTTTTTCTTGGACTGCTCCTGTTGTTGGCGCGAGCTTGCTCAGGAGAGAACATAGCGCAAACATCAGCCCGCCTTCCCTATGAGCTCGGCGGCACGGGTGGACCACTGTCCAAAGCAGTGTCCTTCACTCTCTGACCATGTGTATTTTTAGAGACGTTTCCTGATCACACATAAACGCTCCGCACTCTAATTGCATCCGCCCCGGTGCATGGCTGGCAGCCGGCCGGGGGCTGGGCTGCGTTGCCCAGGAAGGACTTCCTGAATTCACACCAAAAACTAAAGGCTGCCATTTGTTCTGCCGTTGGAGGGTGACCCGGGGACTCTGCAATTCAGCCGAGTTTAAAGAAAGCCTGTTGTTGTTACAGTAACCCAAGAAGCTGGAACCTGAGTTCAGGGCCCCCGGTGCACACACCCAGGGAGAGACAGCCCTGCCCCAAGGTGCTGGCAGTGTCACTAGGCGAGAGAGAGGAAGGATTCATGTCCCCGTTTTGCAGTTGGGGAACAGAGATGCAGAGGGTGAAAATTTCCACAGAACCCAAGTCAATTAGGAGCCCAAATCCCATTGACTTCCAAAGAGTGTTAGGCTCTTACATGCCTGTCCCTTTCGAAGAAGGGACTTAGGCACTTTGAAAACTTATCCAAGCCAATGGGAATTAGACACCTAAATACCTCTGAGCCCAAGTGACCTGCAGAGAGTCAGTGGCAGAGCCAGGAACCGGCCCAGAGCTCCTGAGTCCCAGCCCAGTGCTTTAACCACAAGCCCACCAAGTGGGTTAGGGTTGATTGCCTACTTGGGGGAGGTTTGGATCCTGCAGGATGCTTTTGGCAGGAGTAGGGAGCAAAGTCAGCAGTGTGCCCTTGTTGCCAAGAAGGCCAATGGCATTTTGGGATGTATAAGTAGGGGCATAGCGAGCAGATCGAGGGACGTGATTGTTCCCCTCTATTCGACATTGGTGAGGCCTCATCTGGAGTACTGTGTCCAGTTTTGGGCCCCACACTTCAAGAAGGATGTGGATAAATTGGAGAGAGTCCAGCGAAGGGCAACAAAAATGATTAGGGGTCTGGAACACATGAGTTATGAGGAGAGGCTGAGGGAGCTGGGATTGTTTAGCCTGCAGAAGAGAAGAATGAGGGGGGATTTGATAGCTGCTTTCAACTACCTGAAAGGGGGATCCAAAGAGGATGGCTCTAGACTGTTCTCAATGGTATCAGATGACAGAACGAGGAGTAATGGTCTCAAGCTGCAGTGGGGGAGGTTTAGATTGGATATTAGGAAAAACTTTTTCACTAAGAGGGTGGTGAAACACTGGAATGCGTTACCTAGGGAGGTGGTAGAATCTCCTTCCTTAGAGGTTTTTAAGGTCAGGCTTGACAAAGCCCTGGCTGGGATGATTTAACTGGGAATTGGTCCTGCTTCGAGCAGGGGGTTGGACTAGATGACCTTCTGGGGTCCCTTCCAACCCTTATATTCTATGATTCTATGATTCTATGAAAGGCTCCTGGGGAAAGGGGAAGAGGCCAGGCTCTCAGCTGGCCCTGGGGTATCTTCTCTAGAAGGGCTCCTCTCTTGAATGCAGCCTGGAAATCCAGCCGCCCTCGGCCGTGGTGTCCCTGGTGCTCTGGCACTGAGCCCCTGTGGCCCGCTGAGGCTCCCTGTCTCTGCCTCTGCAGATGAGCATGGACACCAATGAGTGGCTCCCCAGCCATTTCAACGCAGCTGACAAATGGCCCGGGTTGATCCTCGAGCCCCTGGACCAGGGCAATTGCGCCGGCTCCTGGGCTTTCTCTACAGCAGGTAAGACGCCCGTTGGGCAGGAGTGCCAGGCTGCGTGCCCCAGCAGGAGGCTGAAGGGTGGCTGGTGCAGAGAGAAGGAGCCCTCCGTACCCACTCACTGGAAGACCCCTGCCACTTCTGCATCTTGCTGCCATTGGCATGGTGGATAGGATGGGCCCTGGCTCCCAGTTGCCCCTGACTTCATTTTGCAAAGCTGGAACGACCTGCAGCTTTGACCCACCCTTAGGGCCAAGAGCCAGCTGCTCCCTGTCCCAGATTGGGCCCCTGGGGGTGAGGCTGATTGGCTGGGGGAAAGGGAGAAGAGTTGTATCTGTTACATTAGGAACCTCCTAACCATGTGAGTTTCCCCCAAGCGGTGGCATCGGACAGGATCTCCATCCATTCCATGGGGCACATGACGCCCGCCCTGTCCCCCCAGAACCTGATCTCGTGTGACACCCGGAACCAGCAGGGCTGCAGCGGGGGCCGGATCGACCGGGCCTGGTGGTATCTGCGCAGGAGAGGGTGAGTGTGGAAGGGCATCGGCAGAGCTTTGGGCAGGGGTGGGAGCCCCGGAGTGGGGCAGCGGGGAAGGGGGCTGCAGGGCAGAGGTGGAATGAATCAGCCGAGCTGTGTCTGGGGGGTTCAGGGCTCGGAGAGTGGCGGCCTGCGGCTCGGGATGGAGAGCTGTGTGAGGAGGGGGCAGGAATATAGCGGGGGGCTGAGGCTGGGGTTGGGGGAAGCCCAGGGCTGGAACAGCGGAAGAGTGATGGGTTGGAATCAAGGGGCATTGAAAAAAACAGTGGGGGGAGAGAGGGAAGGACTTGTTGCACTGTGCCCAAGAACAGGCTGGCATTGCCCAGAGAATGAGCCGTCCCCTGGCACGGTCCCCTCCAATCTGAAACGGGGCCAGCATCTTGGTCAAGCCATCCTGGAGCTGCACCGAGCATCCCAGCACTCCCCGTCCCATCGTCCCTGTGCTGGGGGGCAGCCCATGGGCTGGGCCTGCTGGGGCTGGTGCTTTGTCCCACCTGCCGCTGTGCATCCCTCTCTAACCCCCACTCTTGCCTCCCAGGGTGGTGACTGACAGCTGCTACCCCTTCACCAGCTGGGAGAAGGACAGTGCCCACACAGGCCGGCCCTGCATGATGCAAAGTCGCTCCACGGGCAGAGGGAAGAGGCAAGCCACCCAGCAGTGCCCTAACCCCCAGGCCCACTCCAACGAGATCTTCCAGTCGACCCCCGCCTACCGCCTCTCCTCCAGCGTAAGTGCGGCTGCCCCGCCTGGAGCCCTCTGCGGGCGGAGCCCAGCTCCCGAGGGGTTAACACTGGCTGGCCCTGGGCTGGTCTGGGAGGCTGGAGGCTAATCCCACTCGCTCAGGGACAGGAGGCTCCAATGGGGAGGGCATTGGAGGGGTGGGGCAAGGGCAGTGCCAAGATTAAAGCCCAGGGTCTCCCAGCTGCCACTACTTCCCGGCCCGTGTGTGACCCAGCCCTGCTCTGTGTTTGCAGGAGAAGGAGATCATGAAGGAGCTGATGGAGAATGGACCTGTGCAAGGTAAGGGATGCGCCAGCTGGACTGGATCCACCCACCATCTGCCATAGGGAATCCCCTCCCCATCCAACTCTGGCACAGACGCTGCAAAACTTCCAGCCCCAGGGAGCCCCCTCCCTCTCCTGCAGACCCTGTTACTAGTCCCTGGCTAGTGCAGAGGAGGGGGGCTAGGTGGTTGGCTTCCATTTGGGCTGCTCCTTCTCCCCCCGGGAGTGGGGTAAAGGGGGCACATCCCACTGGCGGCTGCCCCTCTGTTGCTATCCCTGGCCGCATCCGGCACCCGTCTCCAGGACCTTGGGGTGGAGCTGGCAGGGGAGACATTAGCCTCGAGTGCTGGGCTTCGAGGATCCCATCGGGGCTTAGGCCCAGACCAGCTCAGCAAGGCCAGGGGGCTCTGCATGCCAGCCGGCTGAAAAACCGGGGTCTTTCCTAGTGGAAACATAGGTTCGGAAGCAGCTCAGCAGGGTTTTGAGGGTCTTCATTTTGGGCATCGGTGCTTTGTGAATCTAGCCCTCGGGTGCTGTGGAGGCGAGCGTGGTGTGAGAACCTGTGTGGAATAGAAAAGACTGGCCCTTTCGACATGGGCTCGTGTCCTGAGTGTTCGCTCCCTGAGGCCACGCTTAATCCCATGTGCTTCCCAATGGGACAGCAAACGGGGTCCATTCCTGATTCAGGGAGCAGGATCCCATCATGTCGAAAGAGGGGGCAAGAATTAGACGCAGCCTGGGTGTGGGTCTAGGACAAGGACCATCTCTTTGTACTGTGTTTGTACAGCTCCTAGCGCAACGGGGTCCTGGTCTGTGACTCAGGGCCCACAATTGTCCCACAATACAAATTATAATAAATAACAATAGAGGCCGCCAAATCCAAGATGATGCCCAGGTCTGGGCCTGAACAACCTATTAGTAATCATGCTCATTAACGGCTAGCCAAAATCCCATCGCTCCAGGCAGCATACAGACACAAAGCCGCAGATGTACAGCAAGTGTTTGTTTCAACATTTACAAAAGAATCGTCCGCCAGTCTTTAAATCTGTCATGAGTCCATTTCATGGACTATACCAAAGGCCCTTCGTTTTCAGGTTTTATTTTTCTTTACGATTTCCCAGGACTGTATTAGTGTTTATTACAAACACTTTTAAAAAGGATCAGAAATCAGCGGCGAAAAATTAACTTCACCGGTTTCTGGGTAAATATCAGGATTAATATTGGCGGACGGGAGGCCAGACACAGAGCAGAGTAAGAGGACTGAAGTAAAAGCTGCCACGTGTGGTGGTTTAGTTCATGGATTGCACATTCCCGGTTCACATGCACTCCACGGTCTTACTTTAACAGCCTCCCGGGTACACTTTGTTTAACTTATTACAGCCTAAACACAACTCTGCTGTAGTGGATTTTCTTAACATCATTGTTCTATTCCTGTACCTGAGTGGTCTAAAATTCGGGTGAAAATCATGAAAAACCCAATGCTAGCTTTTGTAAAACCTGGGACATTTTCAGTAAAACCGGAAAACCAAGGGCCTTAAGTGTCCCGCCGAGCTAGCTAGTGGCCTCCCCTCCCCATCTCAGCACCAGTGGGTACCCACACTGGTAAACACCTTGCATACCACCTCCATGCACACACGCTCCCTTTGGCAGGCAGGGCGAGGCTGGTTAATGGTTAACAAGCCGTGTGATTGGTAAAGCCCCAGTTCAGCTGATTAATGGTCACTGATGCTGGGGCCCTTCCTGCTCCCTCCTCACAAATGGGGGCTGTGCATCACCAGGACCATGTTCAATTATTAACTGCAGGGAGCTGATCTCAAATTCCCGTTGGTTTGGTTTTTAATCGGCACGATAATACATTTTGTAAAAGCTCCCTCGGCCAGAGCAGTCCAAAGGGGAGGGAGAAATCCTGCTCGAAAACCCAGCTGTGTTCTCCCCATCTGCATGAGACTCCCATATATTTTCAGCCTGGCTGACTTTCCATTTAGATTAAGCAACCAAACAACAAAGAACAAAAGTGAAGTCTGCTTGGGGAGAGAGAGCACAGTGTGTGCGTCTTTGCCTGAGCATGCTGCATTAACTCCACCTCTCACAAAATGGCTCAGGAAATTTAAAGAGGCGGTACATACAACCTCCCTCCACCAAGGTCACCTAGCTACCGACACCAGAGGGGCAGAGGATAGAGGGGCATCACCTGGGAAAGAAATCTGGCTTGAAGGGGGCAGCATGGGCCCTGCACACCCAGCTGACGTGTAGCTGTCCCCTCGCCCCGTGATGACGCTGCTTTTTCCTCCCCGTCTGCAGCCATCATGGAGGTTCACGAGGATTTCTTCGTGTACAAGAGCGGAGTCTATCGGCACACGCCGGTGATGGCTGGGAAGCCGGAGCACCACCGGAGACACGGCACCCACTCGGTGAAAATCACAGGGTAAGGAGGTTTCAGAGGAACAGCCGTGTTAGTCTGTATTCGCAAAAAGAAAAGGAGTACTTGTGGCACCTTAGAGACTAACCAATTTATTTGAGCATGAGCTTTCGTGAGCTACAGCTCACTTCATCAGATGTTTACCGTGGAAACTGCAGCAGACTTTATATACACACAGAGAATATGAAACTCTCGTACCCGTGCCAGAGGTGCTGGGGAGGGTTATGTGGGTGTTTGAGAAGGTGTCGGGGAGGGAGATGGGGGCGTGGACGACTGTTGGAATTAGTGGTGTGTCGAGGTGGGGCGGAGGGGAGGGGAGTCAGGCGTTTCGAGGGGGTGTTGGTGGGAGGCTGTTGGCTGGCTGGGTTTATTGGAGGGAGATGTCACACTGAGACACTGGGCTGTTTGCTGAAGGGGCCGAGTGCTGTGTATTTGGAGGGGGGGCAGTGGTGAAGGGCATTGAACACGTGCCAGGCCGGCGCCCTCCCTGGAATGAGGAACCAAAGTACATTGCGGGGCCCTGCGGGGAGGGCAGAGGCCAGAGAAAGGATGGCAGCCAGACAGGGCCACTCCCTTCGGGGCAGGGTGGGGTAAGAGCTTTTCCTCTGGTGGGGGGCAGCTCATCTCTGGGAGCCACTGGACTCTGTGGGGTGGGGGCTGCATGGCAGAAAAGCATCCCAAGAGACCCCTGTCTGAGCGAGCCTGCCTAGGCCAGTTCAAACAGAGCCTTGTCAAAGCAAAGAGGCGAAACAAATACGTTTCCTTTGCTTGAAGAAAAACACAGGGTGGGTTTAGTTCTCGTGAGAGCGGGAGGCGGCCAGAGCCTGGCACAGGCTGGAATAGTTGTACCAGCCTGCCCTGCCCTCTGCTATTCCCGTCCTGGGGCCCCACATGCAGCTTTGCTGGTGCCCCTCAAGCCCGATCCGCAGCCCCTCTGCTCTTCCACCCCTGAGCTTCTGCGCTGAGTGCAGAGCGCCAGGCTGCGGGACTCGGTTGCAGGCCGGGTGTTGGGTGTGTGCTTGGAAGCAGCCGGGGCTGCAGCTGTGAAAAGCTGGTGCAGCTTGAGAGGCTGAGACCGGGATCCTGCCCCTATGGCAGTTAATGGGAAAACCCGCCTTGGCCCCTCGTGGGTGCAGGATCGGGGATGGAGCAATGGGCAGAGGGGTGGGGGAGTAACTCCAGCATGCTCTGCGCCCGGGGAAGCATCCCTGGCTGTATGGATGCTGGTACCTGTGTGGTGGGTGGTGTAAAGCGCTGACAGCCCTGTCCGCCTGCCTTGTTCTCACTATTACACCGAATGATTGTTCCCCCCGTTGGCACCACCGTCCATGTCCCCAGGATGGCACGGACGGCCCAGCTGGGAGCACGTCCCGCCCTGACTCCTGGTCCTGCCTGATCTCTCCACTGCGTCAATTCTAGGCGCTGCTCTTGGGAAAAGCTCCCTCGGTCTGGGAAGACATTTTCCCTGCGGTGGAGGAAAGGAGTGCCCCTTCCTTGGGCTGGAGTGGAAGCGCGGGGAGGAGATGACAGGAGGGGGAAGCGGGTCCAGTGCTTTGGGCCCAGCCTGCGGCGAGTCCCACTCAGACGCTTTGCCTCGCTCCGAGAGGTGTGGGTCGAACCCCAGGTTTGCACCCATCGAGCCGCTGGGGACGCAGCGAGCAGGCAAGCCGCCCTGGAGGCCGGCTGTCCCTGCCGGAGGAGGGCGGTGTGGTCTACAGCACCCCCTCGTGACGGGGCTCACACTGGGACACCCCCCTACTGCTGCTAGCTAGCTGAGCTCCCCTGCAGCCCTGCTGGGCTACTGCCTTCCGGGAAAGGCAGTGGCCAATGGGGAGCAGACAGCAGCCCAGCCTGCCGGGAGGTGGGGATGCAGCCGGCTCAGACTGTCCGACACCAGGCGGGGTGAGCAGTTATTGAGGGTGGAACAGTGGGGTTGGCGCAGGGTTGAGGGGCTGGCATGAAGGAGGGTGGCGAGGAGGCCAGGAGAGGGTGGTTTATGCTGCAGGTTTATGCTGCAGGAGGAGATCTGAGCCCCGTTGTGCCAGGTGCAGCCGGAGCGGGAGCTGGTTCAAGCAGACAAAGGAAGGATTGTTCCCCCATTTCACAGGTGGGGAACCGAGGCACTGAGAGACTGAGGGACGTGTCCAAGGTCGCACAGGGAGTCAGTAGCATCAAACCCTTAGCCACAGACCTTCCAGGGAGGGTTGTTAAGCTGTGAGACAGGTGCCCCAGATGCAGAACAAGACTGGGCTGAGCCCTAGGGACAGTGGAATGTCCTGTTTCTAGCAGGGTCTGATCCAGATCAACAGGTAGAGCCAAGAATAGCATGTCGGCCTCCGCCACCCGCTCGGGGTGCTGCCAGGCAGACACAAAGGACACAAGCCTTCTGTGTTTCCACCTCTGGGTGGCTGCCCCGGCTTGCCCGCTTCCTGGGCCCGCAAGCCGCTTGGCTCAGGTTTGCGGCTGCCACGTGGTGACGTGGCCTCTGGCGCTGGGGAGCTTGGAATGAGCCCTTGGAAATGTTCCAGGTCCCCTTCCAGCTGGGTCAGCCCGTATCTGGCTGGTTTCTTGCCGGTAGGCCAGGCAGTGGGGCCAAATGATTGCAGGGTGTGGGCCGACAGTCCCGCCCCTACAGCCAAAGTCAGGCCCCTCCACCAAAGCAAGTCTGGTTTCCCGAGAGCACTGAGCCCCTGCAGCTCCTTCAGCAGGCGTTGGGGGTGCAGAGCACCCTGGAAATCAGCTCCTTCCCGAGCAGGATAAAGGCGGCTGCACCTGTATATTCTGGCCCGGCTGCAGTACCAAGGGGGCATGAGAGACCCGAGGTCAGCGAGGGTTAATGCAGCCACCTGCCCTCTTTGGAGTGGACAGAGTGAAGGGCAACTGGACGGCGTCTCTGTATCCGCTAGGCCAGGGCCAGGCCAGCAGCAGCATTGGGGGCTGCAGAGCAGATTTGAGGTGCATTGGCACACTTGGCTGCAGGCCTGGAGTAGGGCAGAGCTGTGCGGGGCCCAGGACTGGCACAGCCGGGGCTGGGAGTGAGGGGCCCGGCAGAGCTGTGCGGGGCCCAGGACTGGCACAGCCGGGGCTGGGAGTGAGGGGCCCGGCAGAGCTGTGCGGGGCCCAGGACTGGCACAGCCGGGACTGGGAGTGAGGGGCCCGGCAGAGCTGTGCGGGGGAAGGTTGCCCAGCACTTGCCCCCTCTGTTCCTGGCTCACATCCCTGAGCACTCGACTCCCCTCCCCACGGCTGACTCTGCCTGCCTGGCTCCGGGAGCGAGCTTGGCCCGTGGGCGGGAGCCGGGACCTCGGGGCTCCGCACCGTCTCCGCAAGCCAGGAAACCGGCAAAGCTAAACAAACCCCTGGCCCCGGGACCCCTCCAGCCGGCTACCCAAACTGGTGAACTGACAGTAAACGGAGTGTTGCTGTGGTTACCAGTTCCAACACCAAGAGCAAAACAATCCCATGGGCAACAGCCCGGCTGGGGGCTGAAGGAAAAACCTGACGCCCAGAGCAAGCCCCGGGCAGGCAAGAGAGGGGCAGGAGGCTCCTTCCCCCTTGTGTTCTCTCCATCGGCTCACGGGAGAGTCGCAGCCGGCACCTTGCAAAGCCGAACCAGCCGGCCAGGTCCCCCCTGTGCCAGGTTTCCACGCCGTTCAGAATCACGACCGAGCGTGTGATGGGGGAGAGGGGCTCACGAGTGGGGTCGCCTCTGGCTCGCCCTGGGGCACAAGGCAAGGGTCGGACGGCTCCGGGGGATTGGGCCAAGTCTTCAATCCCCTCCCCTTGGGTTTGCTCAAGGGTGGGAGCACATGAAAAGGAAGGACTCAGAGGAGCGGGGTGCATCTGATCCAGGCGTTACGCTCAGCCTTGCTGCTGGGTTTTAACTGGCTTCAGGGCTGTCCAGTTTCACTGGCACTGATCCAAGTAGCTGCCTTGTAGGGGAGAAAAGTGCCAGAACTTGGCCTCCATGGCTTCTCCTGCGTGGCTAGGATTGAGGGGCCGGATCCGCTGGGGCTGGGGCTGCGCTGTTCCCACCCTGACCCAGAACCAGACCCCCGCCTCTAACCTTCGCTTCCTTTCAATCCTGCCGCAGGTGGGGAGAAGAGAGGACGCCCCAGGGGCAGACTCAGAAGTACTGGGTGAGTGTCGCACTGGCCACGAAGCGCCCTTGTAATCGCAGCCCCCCTGTGCTGGGGGCTGCATGGGTAGGGTTGAGAGTGGCGGGAGGGTCAGCGTCCCACCGGCGCTGCTCGGCTTCCCGAGTCCCGGTGACGCTGCAGAGGTGCCATCAACCCCCCCAGGCCATGATCTTCCGTATGGGGCCAGTCCTCGAGCTACCTGGGCAAGGCGGTTGGTTGTGTGCTGGGGCACTGTAGAGGCCAGACATGGGCATGCTAAGGCTCAGGATTCAGATCAGGAGCCAGCAGCTTTATTCAGCGTGTGTGACGGGACTGCGGGTCTCCCCAGGACAGACCAGCGATTCCCAGCTGGCACGGGCTGCGGCTGGCACAGAACCAGGGATGGAGCCATTGCAGGGCAGCCTCTTCAGTTGTTCCAAAATTTGGGTCAGCACCAGGGAAGGGAAGGGGTGCTTTCCAGGGCACTGCTGTGTGCGGGTGCGGCTGTCTGACTGTGCGTGTGTGGCTGGCTGTGTGCGTGTGTCTGTGCGTGAGTGCATCTGGCTGTGTGCATCTGTCTGTCTGTCTGACTGGGCCCACACGTGTCTGGCTGTGCCCACGCATGTCTGGCTGGCTGCATGCATCTTTCTTGGTGTGCATCAGGCTGGCTGTGTGTCTGTGTGCTTGCATAGCTGGCTGTGCGTGTCTGGCTGTGTGCAGGTGTCTATGTGTGCGTCTGGCTGTATGAGTGCATCTGTGCATGTGTCTGTCTGTGCGTCTGTCTGTCTGTGCGTGTGTGTGTCTGCCTGTGCGTGCGTGCGTCTGTCTGTGTGTGCGTCTGTCTGTGCGTGCGTCTGCCTGTGCGTGCGTGCGTCTGTCTGTGTGTGCGTCTGGCTGTGCGTGCGTCTGCCTGTGCGTGCGTCTGCCTGTGCGTGCGTGTGTCTGCCTGTGCGTGCGTCTGGCTGTCTGTGTGTGCGTCTGTCTGTGTGTGCGTCTGTCTGTCTGTGTGTGCGTCTGTCTGTCTGTGCGTGCGTCTGTCTGTCTGTGTGTGCGTCTGCCTGTGTGTGCGTGCGTCTGCCTGTGTGTGCGTGCGTCTGTCTGTGTGTGCGTCTGCCTGTGCGTGCGTGCGTCTGTCTGTGCGTGCGTCTGGCTGTCTGTGCGTGCGTCTGCCTGTGCATGCATGCGTCTGTCTGTGTGTGCGTCTGGCTGGCTGTGCGTGCGTCTGTCTGTGTGTGCGTCTGGCTGGCTGTGCGTGCGTCTGTCTGTGCGTGTGTGTGTCTGTCTGTGTGTGCGTCTGGCTGGCTGTGCGTGCGTCTGCCTGTGCGTGCGTGCGTCTGTCTGTGTGTACGTCTGGCTGGCTGTGCGTGCGTCTGTCTGTGTGTACATCTGGCTGGCTGTGCGTGCGTCTCTCTGTGCGTGTGTGTGTCTGTCTGTGTGTGCGTCTGTCTGTGTGTGCGTCTGGCTGGCTGCGTGCGTCTGTCTGTGCGTGCGTCTGTCTGTGTGTCCGTCTGGCTGGCTGCGTGCTTGGACACATGTACTGCACACAGACTCGGCTGCTAACATCTTTTACTGTCTTTTTCTTGCCTCCCTGCAGGTGGCTGCGAACTCCTGGGGCAAGCACTGGGGTGAGGACGGCTACTTCCGCATTGCCCGGGGTGCCAACGAGTGCGAGATCGAGACCTTCGTGGTGGGCGTCTGGGGCCGCGTCAGCATGGAGGACATGCGGCGCCGGAAGTGAGCCAGCCGGGTGGCCCCGCGTGGCACGGGGAGGCCTTTCCTCCCACAGCCCCGACGTGCTCCATGAAGCCCAAGTGTGATCTGGACCCAGCCACAGGCACCTGCAGCAGACTCTGACTTTGTCACTACCCCCAAGGGACCCCAAAGGATCCCCAGTCGGCCGCCAGCCTCTCCCAGGACTAGGTAGGGCTCTGGGAGGCCGGGGACCTGGGAGGATCCCTGAGGACTCACAGAGCTGCCACCAAGGAATGTCTTCATAGCATGGGCCTCGCCCTCTCCTGGTAACGGACCCTCGGCCCTGACCAGTTCCTAGCTGGAGACGTGCTGGGACCCTGAGGCCTGTTCCCCTCTGGGACGCTCCTTAGTGAGGATGGGGCCTGTTTACACTACTCGGGAGGGGTTTGGGGCCGTGGCTTCTGCTGTGGGGCTGGGGTGCCTTGGGCCCTGCCATGTGGCGGGGACAGACCAGTGGAAATCAGATCAGCCTGTCACCCCACCCTTTTGGGAACGATGCTGCCGCCTTCGGGGTTCCCCCTTGCCCCAGCCCCGTCACCCATCGCTGGGCTTTTCCCCAGAGATACGGAGGGGGCCCTAGGGCTTCCTGGACCCCCAGCTCTCCAGAGACCAACCTGTAGTTAACCCTTTCATCTCCCTGGGGGCAAGGGGTGCCACTGAGCCATGCCTTTGTCACCCCAGTGGCAGGGTGTCTGCCCCTGTGCCCTCTGCCAGTGGGCGAGGAGATGGTGCAGCCAGCACGAGGAACCCCGGCATTTCCTGAGAGCCTCTCGCATTTCCAGGGAGCCAGATCTTCAGGGATTACCACCAGCCACGCTGCCTGGATGGAGCTGGGCTGGGGCAGGGGAGTAACTGCCGTGCTGCCGTTCTTCACCCTGGCCATCTCTAGCTTTCCCATCGTCCTAGAGGTTCCCTCCTCCCCGCCCCTCCCGCACCCTTGGGAGCCCACCCTGGTCTCCCACCCAGTCCCACTCCAGTCCCCACGGACCAACCTCCCAATTTCCCATGCACCCTTCCACGGCCCCCTGCTCTGATCCTCAGCGTCTCACCTCCAAATGACCCCCATCTCGCGCGGAGCCCTGTTGGGACCCGGGCAAGGCTGGCTTTCTGCTGACACCGAGGCCATGGTGCGCTGGCCCGTATCTTATATGTGCTGAGCACTTGAAAGTGCGTCCCCAGCCCCCTGGCTTTTAACCACGGCCCCATGCTTTGTACCGGCCGGCAGGGTCTTAGTGCCTAATCCCGGCCTGGCTCAACAGGCCATTGTTGGGAGCCTGAGGTCGCTCGGAGGTTGGCGCTTGACGCCCTCGCTGGCGCTGTCAGCGGCGCGGCCCGAGTCGTGACAGTAAGCTGCAGCCTTTCATGTCAAAGAGGTGGAGGATTGTTAAACCAGACCCGTGCTTCCGCCTGACCGGAGTGGCGGGGACGGGGAGGGGGGCTTGAACTGCCTGCTCCAGCAGAGGAGCCAGGAATTGCTCTTTGGCTCCAAAGGGCTCTGGGAGACCCAGTGACCGGGCAGCTCTCTGCACTCATGCAGAGAAGCAGAAGCCCGTCAGCATCAGGTGTGTTTGGATCTGGGGCGGGAGATGGAGCAAAACCAAATGGGACCCCTGGCTCGATCCAGGGCAGAAACCCCGTGTCTGACACATGGCATTGCTGTGGCAAACTCTCACACGGGCCCTGGTGCGGGTTTCCTCTCCCCTCCGTGATGCTACCCAGGCTGGACGGCTTGTCCTGCCTAGGCCTCCTTACCCGCTTGGATTTATTTTGCCCTCTCTGCCCAGCTGCTGCCCCCCCTTTCAGCAAATCCCCATTGTCCAGCTCAGAGCTTAGCTGCAAAAAACATCAAAAACTGTGAAATCCTTCCCGTCCCACCCGGCTCCGGGCCCATCCCTCCGGCTTCCTGGCCGCGCTGGGATCAGTGTCTCCTTGTTCAAGAAGCGGCGTTGAAGTTAAGGGCAGAGCCAGCTCTTCTCCCAAAGGCCTTGAGCCTTTAAAGAGCGCCATGTGAGAGCACATGCATCTCCTCCCTCCCCGTGTGCAAATGGGTGTTTGCACAGCCAGCCTCGCCTTTTTGTTTTGCACAAGCGGGCGTTGCTCACTAGGAGATGGCATTTGCCCTTGCGCAAACGTGGTAGCACGCGGCCTCTGGACCACTTGAGCCTGCCCTAGGCACTTGTGCTGCCCTGGGGCGAATTTCACACAAGGGGCGTTTGTGCCTTTAACGGGGCCCCAAAGGAGGGGTGTTCTTCCACCGGGGGCTGCGGAGCTGGCTTCAAGCCAGGATTCTCCGCCGGGGCAGCTTTGTGCTGCGCCGAACTGGGAGGTGTCTCAGCGTAAAGCCGGGCAACTCCAGAGTGTAATCGAAACTTCTCTCCAGCCTGTCGCTTTCCAGAACAGGCACGGAATCTGCCTTTTCCCTATGGTGCTAAAGGGCCCAGCCCAGGAAAATGTCCAGTACCAAGGGCCTTGATTTGGGGAATTTATACTTCTGTCGCTGTCAGTGGCTAAGCCCCCTGGCTTTTTGACTTCAGTGGGAGCTGCACGTTGCAATGGTTGCTGACGTACTCACAACAGTGTTTGCTGATGTACTCAGAGCTTCAGCCGGGAGCAGGGGAGGGAGGCGCTCTGTGTCGCTCTCTCCTGATCCAAAGGGTAGTTGCTCTCAGCCCAACGTCCCCGTCCACATGTCAGAGAGGAGAGCTGGTGTCCGAGATGTGGCAGATGCTTTGTCAGGACAATCTGGGTCCTGAGACTGCACTGGCCAGTCTCAACAGTGAGTCTGTATCCAGAGACAGAACAAGACCGCAATCTACCTGCCTAGCGAGCGGTCGGGCTGTACGGAGGCATTGTATTTTAAGACTCTTTTGTATTTATTGTGCTTTTTATTATTTGTACGTAAATTTATTGAAGCCTCTCACCAGCACAACTGTGTCTTTCTTGCCCACCACGTGGGCCTGCTTCCCATTGGTTACTGCTGGCTATCCCTGGGGGTCATTAGCCCGCTCCAGCCTGCTGCCCTTGAAATTCAGGCTTGGGCCATCGAGTCAGAGATGGTAAAGCCAGAAGGGACCGTTATGATCAGCTAGTCTGTATAGCCCACCCACAGACCTCACCCGATAATGGCTGAATCGAGGCCATACCTCACAGCTGAGCTGGAGCACCTTGCTTTAGACTGACACCCCTGCGCCCCTGCTTGATTTAAAGCTTACAAGCGTGGAGCCTCCCCTCCACCCCCTGGTAAATTCCATTGGTGAATCCTCTTTGGTGTTAAAAATTGGTGCCTGAATGTGTCTGGCTTCATCTTCTAGCAGGTGTATCTCATTCTACCTCTGTCTGCTGCATTACAGTGCCCTCTGCGCTCAGAAACCACCTCCCCAGCTAGCCAGCGTTGCATTTCATTCCTTTTAGTAGCCATTCAGAGCTGAAGATGAACCAGGACGGCCCCCTCATCCCAGATGCTGCATTGACAGGTTAAGACTTGCCTGAGGCACCGTCAGAAGGGTGTAAATGAACACAAAGGCTAAAATCAAATCCCGTGAAAGGTCAGTTTGAACTTTGCCATTGGCCAGCTGTAAGCCTGTGTCCAAAACTCTCATGCTTCAGGGCACAAGCCTAACCTCGACCTGGCAACAGTCAGGAAGGAACTTCCCCTAAAGACAGATTATTCCATAACTGTCCATCGGGAGGTTTCCTTGCGCCTTCCTCTGACCCAGCTGGTACTGGCTATTATTAGCAGCTTGGTTGCCCCCTCCCCATCCAGTCTGACAAGGCTTGTGTCCCTCAGTTAGCTGGGACGTAGGCATCCTTGGATCAAGGAAACGGCCCATGGTTTTGCTGGGCGCTGCTCTCGGGGCTTGGCTCTTGCTGGTGCTCTGAAGAGCTGCAGGGCTGTAGGTGGTGAGCCGCTGCTGATGAGCACTGAGCAGACAGCGGGCTTGGCCGGCCCTGCGTGCTGGGTGAGGAGGAGGTGGGAAGAGCCTTGTTTAACCGGCAGTGGCCATGGCCTGGTATTAGTACACCGCCGTGGGTCCCAGGGGGAGTCTGGAGCCTTTTCTTTTCTGCCCTGCTCCCCGTACCACTGGGGTGTGGGCAGACTGGGGTGAAGGAGCGTCTGGCTCTACCCGTCCCAAGATGTGGCACCGTGGGCTTTCCCTGTGGGCCAATCTCCAGGCGCTTGGGCCCAGGAGTGAGCAGGCCCAGGGTCTGCCCTGTGCGCAGCCATGCGGGAGACCTCTCCCCAGCACCCAAGCCTTCACTACCCATCGGAGCAGCCCCTCATCGGGGCCTCGCACTGCCCTGCCGCACCAATGAGCAGCGTTTCCTTTTGCATCTCCTGCTCGGTCAGTGGATTTTCCGTTCCCCTCTCCCCTGGTTCCTGGCAGCGATTGTTCTCCGAGGCCTGGCAAGCTCCCCAGGCCTGACACAGGGAATTCTTCACATGGCTGCACGGCTGCAGCTCCCCCGCCAGGGCTTACGCAGGCAAAGCTGCCGGCTTTCTGCCTCATTAACCGCCCCCTGCAGGTGGCAGAGTCCCCCTCGGTGCCCCGGAGGCTGGTCCTGGCAGAAATCACCAGCATTGGAGACCTCCTGGACTCCCCGAGCGGGTGCTCCAGGAGGTGGGGGCAGCCTTATCACCCACCTCTCAGGTTTTCCTTGAGTGGGTCCTGCGAGAGGGTGCACCCTCACCCCAGGGCCTCCGGACTTTGTCATCGGGCCCCTGCAAGCCCCCCCTCCCCCGGGGCGGCCCCCTCCCTTCCATAACCCGAGCCGGCTGTGCGCCCTGCAGCCGATTTGTTTCCGAACTGTGCCGAGGGAACAACTTTCCACTCTTGTGCTCCACACATTTCACTTCCTCGCCCTCGTGTCCCACCCCGATAGGAAGGGTCGGGACCTACTACCACCTGCAGAGGGTGAGGAAACCCGGTGGGCCCCGGAAAAAACACCTCTCCCCCTCCCGCCAACCTCCAAATGCTGCTTTCTGGAGCTGGGGGGGGGTGCGGGGTGCTGTCCCAGCAGATGCCCACAGCTTAGTCCTAAGCCTTTGGGGGCCAGGGATGGACAGGCACATGGGCTGCGGTTTAGAGGACACACACACACACACACTCACTCGCTCTCTCGTCCCTGGCACAGGGGCTGGCTGTGTTTGCAGGGTCATGGACGCGGCCTTTGTCACATGCCTGCTCGGGGGGCAGGGTCATGCAATGCATGAGACACTGGTCGCTACACGTGGGTGGGGGGGCGGGCGGTTGGGGGGCGGGGCGGAAATGGCTGCTCCCTTCACCAGGCTGGCGCTGGCCATGGGGCAGGTGCGTGCCAAGCCATCAGAGCTCGGCTCCTGGGGCTGGCCCTTCTGTCACTGAAACCAAGGAAGACGCTTAACAGGTGACATGCCCCCCCCACCCGCACACCCCTACTGCCACCCCCCCCCACCTTGCCCTTCATTTGCCCTCCCCACACAAGGGGGCAAAGGGGAGGGCCCTGCTGTCCCCACCTTGCCCCTCTCGCCCCCCCGCCCCCCCGCATGAGGTCAGCACCTAGAACGAATGTGCTGGCGAGATAAAGGGCCCGTCATTGTCTTGCTTCCTGTTTTGCCAGGACACGGTGACCCCGGGAAACCCTGGTCCGGCACACACGCGCAGCCCACGCCAGGAACGTGCAGCCAGCCAGGCGAGCGGGGGGGGGGGGGGGGGCGTCTCCATGCTGGTTCCAGGGGCTCAAAGGTGTCAACACAGAGCCATGCTAAGCTAGGTGTGACCCCCCCCCCCCAGCCCCACACAGCCCCCCAGGAGAGGCACGATCACAGGCCCTGGCTGCGCGCTGCAGATGAGCCGCACCAGCCTCCTCTCGGGGCCAGCGCACAGCTGGGGAGGGCGCCCGGCGCCCCACGGATGGACAGCTCCAGCCCACCCCGGTCCATGGCTCCCCTCTGTGGACGGCCTCAACACGAGGCCTAAAGGCGGGGCCCACCTGTTAGCTGGGCCTGGCAGTTTGTAGTTGGGTGTGTGTGTGTGCTGGGGCTGAGTGTTAGGGGTGTGTGTGTGTGTGCTGGGGCTGAGTGTTGGGGGTGTGTGTGTGCTGGGGGTGTGTGTTGGGTGTGTGTGTGTGTGTGTGTGTGTGTGGGGCTGTGTGTGTGTGTGTGTGTGTGCGTGCTGGGGCTGTGTGCTGGGTGTGTGTGTGTGTGTGTGTGTGTGTGCATGTGCGTGTTGGGGGTGTGTGTGTGTGTGTTGGGGTGTGTGTGTGTGTGTGTGTGCGTGTGCGTGCTGGGGCTGTGTGTTGGGGGTGTGTGTGTGTTGGGTGTGTGTGTTGGGGGTGTGTGTGTGGGCATGCTGGGGGTGTGTGTTGGGGGGTGTGTGTTGGGGGTGTGTGTGTGTGTGTTGGGGGGGTGTGTGTGGGCGTGCTGGGGCTGTGTGTTGGGGCGGTGTGTGTGTGTGTGTTGGGGCTGTGTGTGTGGGCGTGCTGGGGCTGTGTGTTGGGGGGTGTGTGTGTGCGCGTGTGCGTGCTGGGGCTGTGTGTTGGGGGTGTGTGTGTGTTGGGTGTGTGTGTGTGTGTGTGTTGGGGGTGTGTGTGTGTTGGGGTGTGTGTTGGGGGGGTGTGTGTGGGCGTGCTGGGGCTGTGTGTTGGGGGTGTGTGCGTGTGTGTGTGTGTGCGTGTGCGTGCTGGGGCTGAGTGTTGGGGGTGTGTGTGTGCTGGGGGTGTGTGTTGGGGGGTGTGTGTGTGTGTTGGGGGTGTGTGTGGGCGTGCTGGGGCTGTGTGTGTGTGTGTGTGTGCGTGTTGGGGGTGTGTGTTGGGGGGTGGGGGTGGCATACGCATTACTGCGGTGGCTGCAGTGGTACTGGGGGGTGCGGGGGGGGGGGCACGATGCGCCGCGCTGGCAACAGGGCGCCCAGGGAACCTCGTTATGGGTCATTCAGCGGCCTGGTGGTAATTCCCAAAGACAAACCTGACTTGGCAGGTTGGCTCATTGCCCCCCCACCCCACCCCCAAAATGAGCAATGACGGGGGGGGGGAGGCCTGCAAGCGGGGGGGGGGGCACGGTGGGAACCGGCCGGCCCTGGCCCCAGCCCCATGGAGCAGCCAGTGGTTTATCTGCTGTGCCCCCCCCTTCCCGCCCCCCCCAACTTCTGCAGCAGAAAGGCAGCAAGAGGAGAGCGCCACCTGGTGGCTGCACGTGCAGGGGCCCAAGCAGCATCAGCCGCCCACCGGAGTGGCAAGCGTGTGATGTGGTCCGGCGGCGTTGGCTGGGCTCACGCCACAGAGCACCCGACATCACGGAGCCGTGGACCAAAGGGTGGCAGGGTCCCCCTGCAAAGCCGGGGGGGGGGGGAGGCACTAATGGCCTGGACATCTGCCAGGCTTCCCTCCTGCCATCACCGAGGAGCCGGTGCGCCCCAGGCCCGCGGGACTGAGCACAGTGCTGTGCAGCGCACGGGGAGCGTGTGGACGGAGGGGTCACTGCTGGCCTTTCCCCTGGCAGGTGCTGGGTTAACGCCCCGGCTGAGGGCACAGCCGGCTGGGATCACAACAGGAGCTGGCCCATGTGTCCTGAGTCTCACACATCCCCACACCCCAGCCCTAGACTAGAATGAGTTACAGAGCCGATGCGAGTCCTGCGAGTGGCATATTCCTGGAGCGCAGCAGGGCAGACTTGGGGCATTGCACTGGCCGGGGGAGAAGGCAGGCAGGAGGGCCCCGTGGGGAGGGGCTGGCTGGCCCCCTGGAGCTCTGGCTTTAAGGCCTGGCGGCCCCCTCCAATTCCATGTGCAGCTGTGAGCAAACCCCTGAGCTCAGAGCCTGACAGGTGTTTAGGCCCCTCACTGCCATTGCAAGCGGGAGCCTCGCTGTCCCAGCTGCGAACTGCCGCCCATCGCATGGGCCTGGCTGAGGCCTGGGGGTGAGGAGCAATCTGTCAGACGG